CATAGTGCCAAGCAAAGAAAGTAATAATGAAGGTTTATACAAAGAAAAATTTTTGACAAAATTTTCCCAGATTAGCAAGATTGAACATTTAGATAAAATTAGTAAGAAAAAAAGGGTGTTTATTCACAATACAATAATAATGTGTTAAATTTTGTTATGTTTTCTGTGTAATAGTAATAGATTTTTAGAGATTACATATTCAACCGTTGACCCGGTTGAGCCGTTTTGACACGGTGACCCGGTTTACTATAACCCGGTTCTAAACTCTAGAACAGAAACAAAAATCCAGTTATTACTTCGATTTAGATTTGGTAGGTTTCTTTGCTTTTTTCCTTGGGGGCTCGTCTCCTTCATCCGATGATGATCCAGCTCCAGCGTAGTTCTCATCGTATTCTTCCGCTACATCACTTTCACTGTCTTCTAATTGAAAATCTTCATCAACTAAATCGAAGAAATTGGTCACATTAACGAGATGTATATATATATAAGAAAAAAATTGATAAACAGAATCTTCTTTATTTTACCAGAATCTGAATCCTCTCCATCGACTGGCATCGATTCACTTTGGCGACGTTTGGATGCTGGAATCACCTCGTCATCTGATGAGCCACTAATCTCGTTCATGAACGTTTGTATTGTTTGAGTCTATATAAATAAGAATAAATTGCGTTAAGCTTAATACGAAGTATTTAATTATAAAAAAAAAAACTCATATGTACGTCAGAGGTATCGTTTTCAATTATAACTTTTTTACTGCGGAAGTATTCTTCTAAATGTTCAAATTCTTCTCTATAAACACAATCGGAATCACGGTAAGTACCAAAGCGTAAAATAAAAATTTTATTTCCTTATGAATTACCAACCGATTAATACTAGAGAACTGGTATTCAAAATTGCCTTTCATTCTAAATTTCAAGTCAAAAGTCCTAGCGGATGTTATCGGGGCCTTAACAGCAGTAGCTGAAACTCTGAATACATTAAAATAATTAAATCTCGGAATATATTAAATAATAGTTGCAGATACAAATGAAGGTCAGTATCCCCTTACCTGGTGAAAATGACCTTTTCAATCTCACTAGTCTTGATCAATGTTGGTGGTTTGGGAATAAATAAGAAACATTTTTCTAGTGGGTAAAGATAACCCTCATTTGCTTTAAGGGAGCACTTTACTGCTACTTCTTCATGTTGACTTTAACCAAAGAAAATGTAATAACGAAAAAATTGATTAATTTGGGTAAAAACAAATGCTTACATAATGTGAAAACAAACCTTTTAAAACCAGATGGTTTAATTATTTTCTTTTTGGTCAGTTCACGAAAAACTATGCTGAAAACATGATAAACTGCTCCATCATATGAAGGCTCCAATTTACCTCCATATTCTTTTTCAATAATATCGCTAATTTCAGCAATAAATAAATATATTAAAAAAAAAAAAAAAAGGTAATAAATAGATAACAAACGATAAGTGACAAGAATACAAACGCATCGAGGTTTAAATTGAATTCTTTCTCCTCTTCCTTTTTAAATTGCAGGACAAGAAAAGGGTAAAGTGTCTGACCCTGTCTTAATGGTGGATCAAGACCAATCTGTGAAATAGAATTATCAAGAATAGCAACTACTTGAAAATTACACCATAAAAAAGTTGAAATATTACCACAAACATTTCATGAAGATCATCAAGTTTTGGTAACAAAAACAGACTCCCAACGCTAGAGTATTGAACTTTGTAGTCATATGTTTTCCCACGTAATCTAAAGAAACTGGAAAACATTTCGATGTCGTATCGACCACTAAATATTTGACATATAAAAATTAATATATGAATGAAATAAATGAATTGCAATGCAAAATCTTAATAACATTGTACCGTGGTGTAAGCAGTAGAACATCATTAAAGAGCACAATCCCTTCACCGGAAACCTGTGTAAGATCAGCCTTTTCTCTAACTTCCTCAAAGAATAGCTAAATTGTAAAAAATGTAGTTAGTATTCACAAAGAATGTTTAATCAGTATCATTGCTATTATTTGCTTACGCTTGCAAGACTCATTTCCTCCTCTTCTTCTTCTACTTCCCCACTGACTTCGTCCTCAGTTTCGCCATCTTTAACGACCTTAGTTGAACCAGGAATATAGAACCTCATTTCAACGAGTTCATGTGTAGGATTCCTATGACTTCGAGTTTGTGTGTCTTCACCAAATTGTTCCGGTTGCATAAATTCGAGACTGACCTCACATTTGTTTTGAAGGTTAGTGTTTGAGACGTGTGATAGAGGAATTTCAAAGGCGGTTTTTTTACTAATGTTAAATAGTAACTGAGAGCCTGTATTTTTAATATCAAAAGATTTAATAAAATTATTTTATTTGAAATATTCTCAATTGAAATATACCTTGGAAATCAGTTTCACCCCAATTCCATCCTTTGACACATAGCTCTTTTGTTTCTAAATTTAGTTTATAATTTGTCCGAATGATCTCTCTTAGTGATTCAAAATTCTGAAAATTATTAAAAGATTGAAATGAGATTCCAAAATGTAATTAAAAGCATGTTTTAGAACCTATACCTCCTTGGGAAACCCATCAAATCTTGCAGCATTCCCATTCTTTAATGCAACTTTCAACTGATAATCTCTCGCAACACGCATCCATTGAGCTCTTTTAAACTCATCGGCAGAAATAGTTACTATACTATCTGAATCAGGTGTTTTCCAGCCTAAACCACTTGGAGCAAGCTTGAGGATCCCTGGTGAATTTGAAAGCCCATAGTAAATATTTTCAAATTGCTTTGATTTAGGCTCTCCCATGTTCTAATAATGCAAATGTTTAATGAAATGATGGATCGCGACGCGTTTGAAATATCGGGAGACGTATGGCGCAGCTATATAAATCCGTATGAGTGGCGTAACCAAGTTTAAGGTCATTTTTTATTGGTTGACAATAATTTAATTAACTTTATTTTACAAAAAAGGCACTTTAGGCAATACGTATGTGTAATTGCATTGTAATGCTTTAAATGCTTTAGTACGTACATTTACGGAAGACGTACGTACGTACGTAATTGTTACGTACAGACGTCGAATCGATTAGTTGACTAGTCTATTAGTAATAATAATCCTCCCGTGATCTTGATATAGTGATCGGGGGATTATTATTACTGTATTACTAATCGACTAACTGACTAGTCCACTAAAAATTTTTAAATACATTCATGCATATCAATTGCCCGGGTACCTTATTTATTCAAATTTACATTACGTATTTATGTTATACTCTGATGCAGTGATTATTTTTCGCTGTGCGGACTGTGCGCAGCACACAGAAACAATATTTTGCGCACATTTTCTTTTGAACAGACGTGCAGATGCCGCACAGAAAAAATTGAAAAAATTGACATTTTTGTAAGTAGTGCGCACACTTGTAAAAAGTTGTTTATAGTTTCTTTCCAAATTGTGCGGTATCCGCACAGTAAATTTTAACTGAAAAATTAACACTGCTCTGATGTTTTCTTTACTAGAGATGTAGGAACGTCCGGGTTTGTGGATCGTTACACAAACGATTCAATTGATTTTTTTGGTTCTACCACAAGATTCCGTGACTTAAAGATTAGTAATCACATTAACAATCATTGTCAGACTTTAAATTTTAATTGTCACGCCGCGTGATGTCAGTATTATCCCTTACTCTGTAGTCCGGATTGCCGGTACATAGATACCCAATCATCACATTTTTAACTCCCAAAATCTAATAACATAAATGATTAGGGTGTTGGGGTGATTGATCGACTAATTGTGACTAAGATTAATATAGACCCTAATAAAACCAATTATAACAGATTTTTAAT